CTCATATTGGTGATGGTTATCTCGAGGCACATAAACTCCCCGGTTGCCTGTTTTTACTACGGAAAGAAGTGACATCAGCTGGAAATAAATCTTCGCTGGCAGAGGGTTATTTAATTTACCCTCTCAAAAAGTATAAGAGGTCTTGCCTATATATCGTGGAGTTGAATTTTACAAAGTTTACGGGCACTCTACTCAGATAATCGCCAGCTGCATTTTTTTTTCACACCCTTTCACGATATAACGTGAGCTCACGTTGTCCAAAATTCTTGTTATGCCAGGGCTTATAACGGCTTAAAGGCAGCTACGCCTCTGGTAACACCTACTCGATGGGCATATAATTCTTCAGGTCTTACTTAGCCTCATCCTAGAAACTGTTAATAATTGGCGAAAGAACCAGCGGCAGTCGCAACTAGAAACTCAGGTGAATTGAGGCCTTGGACTGCCTTCTTTTTGCTCTGAAATAAAAGGGGGTGGTCTATCTTCAAAAGAAAATTTGTGGCAAGGGTAAGACGTGGTTATTGCATTATCCCTGTTAAGATAGTAGTATTTTTGAGATTGACATCACCATGGTAACGTGTTTCGTGACGAAGTAACGCTTCACTTCCGTAATTTTTTTTCTTTAAGGATTCTGCAGGCAGGGTAAAAAACTTTTACTGAGCATTATTATTGGTGTTGTTTTTACCTATCTAAAGTACTTTTTTTCAAATTTAGCTGGAATGGTGGTATGCCTACCCTTGATGAATGTTTCCTGGCTGTCAGGTGACAGAAAATCGTTACATTTCAATGACCACGTAATCTGGACTTTCCTTCCAGTTAGTTTCGTGTACCTCCCGATACGCAAAACACTTGCTGCCCGTTATTTGTTGAGATAAGAGTGTATAAGTTCTCCTACAGATGGTCTGAAATTAAAAATGGTAATTGGATGCCTTAATGAGTCACGTGATCCTTATCTTTACAACTTTCAATAAGACTTAATCTTTACAACACGTTTAACCTCTCACGTAAGTTTGACGTGTCAATACGTTGCATATTGACGGAGATAGACCACCCCCTCTTCATTTTTTCATGTTTTTTTACTTACTTTATGAGACGAAACTAACTCTAATTTGGGTCCACCTAAATTAAGTAAGCAACTCCGAAGTTTTGCAGCTCTTTCTTTATGAGATGTCACTGTTACAGCATTTCGTGATTAAAAGGACGCCAGATTTCCGTACTTGAAAAACAACATCAAATTTGCATGCATTAAAAATCGTTGTGTTTTTTTAAACCAATTACGGTGAGGGGATATCTTATCACCGTCTTTAGAACACGTAGGTTAAATCCCTTTTTAATTATCCACAAAAATGCAACTGATTGCTCATTACTTTGTTAACACAGTAAGCACAGGATCATCCTATCTAAATTGCTCTTCAGATTCTTGATTTCTGTTCCTAAACTCCTGAAGAAAAAGAAATGCCTCTCCTTCATTTCACTCGAAACAGGAAGGTCCATCACCGCTTGATGTTTGATCGACAGAGCCTGGATAATCGCCTACCAGCGCATGAACGAATGGCACTTTTCGTCGCCAAAAGGCCCGCTCCTTCCCAATCTGCTGGCGAGAAAAACAGGGAGAATAAAGCGATAGTTCTTCAAAGGATTGCACTGGACGCCAATAAGTAATGTCACCCAAACTGTTAACAATTTTATCTAAAAGAAACGGAACTTTTTTATCTCAGGCGACAACTGGACGAGTAGGAATGTACAGACTGCACAGATGTAGAAGCGAACTGAATTTTCTTGCGAACTCAACCGAAGTAGCTGCATGTTCTTTCCTTTTATTTGATAGTTGTACTACAGTAACTTTTTGAGTTGCTTAACTTTACTTCAAACCACTTTATGTAGCTTTAATGTATATCTAGCAAGGTTTTTTGAAAAGATACCTACCGTAAATTGCTGCCATTTGAACTGCGATGAGACCAAATCACAGGTAGCCCAAGCCCGAAATATGAGCATCGGCATTGTTGCGTAACATTTGAAATCAGTAAGGATTTGTATGGAGAAAAAACCTATCAATTCTGCAACCTGCGGAAATGAAAGAATTTCAATAAAAAACAGCTTACCTTACTTAAAATGTGTGGTAAACTGGTTACATTATAACCCATAAAACGGCCGTAAATCGGCCTATGAACTACGCAGGAGAGACGTAACACACATTTTCAGTAAGGTAAGCTATTTTTCTATTGAAATTCTTTCATTTTCGTAGGTTACAGAAACGATAGGTTTTTTTTTCACACAAATCCTTACTCATTTCAAATATTACGCAATAATACCGATCAGTGGCAGTTTCGAGCTTGGGCTACCTTTGGCCAAATAGGATCGTTTCGTGCATTCCATGACCGAAAATCTATAAAGGCAAATTACGTAACATCACTGGCCGATAGGTTCGTATGCTAACGTAATCAGAAAAAATTTTTCAGGGGTAACCGAGACGATCCTTTATCTGTATCTGTATCTTTATTTT